TTATTTCATCTTAAACCTTTAATGTAATATATATTTTTTGTAATATACAGATAATTATTACTATGTGGATGCAAGTTCCTTAAGATGGAACTTGGAAAATTTATAACTTATTAGAATGTGAAGTTTATTTTTATTTATAACTGGCCCAAGTTGGGACTAAATTTTTTTTATAATTGACTCTATTTTTATTTTATTTTTTAAAATTAATATAAACCAAACTAGAGGTAAAAAAATACATTTAATAAAGTTTTGCTGGGAAATATTATTCAGCCTCGTTCAAAATTATAAAGTCAAATAGTAAAGGGTATTATAGTTTTTTTTTTCGTAGCTTCACCTTTGTCAAGTAATGGATTCAATTGACAGAGATTAACGATTGGTGGAAAATTGTTTTTCTGAAAGTTTGTGGGTGGGAAAGTATTTATGGAAAACCTAGGTAGGGAAATTGTCATTCATTCTAATTAATATTGTATTAATTTATTCTTTAACAAAGAGGCACGTGAATACAAAAAGACAATAATAATTTAAGAAGAAAACATATAGAGTAGCAAAATATATTATTAGATAATAAGTAGTAATGTCGGGGAATATTAATAGAAAATTTAAGAAGAAAGTAGCAGCCCAATTTGCAATTAAAAATGAGGGCATGATTTCAAAGTTTACACTTTCCACGCCGGCCGGGCCATGCTTAAAAATTTGAGACCTGTTGTGCCATAAGTTGTACTGTGCCAAGGCCTACAAAATTCATGCCCTGTCGTACCGTCCAGTCCACCAAATTTGAAGGCCCACAACACGACCTATATATCATGCCATGCCTTGGATTGTGTCGTGGGCCGGCTCGCGTGCTTTGTAAAAATATTTAATTTTAATATTTATAAATTATAGTAATTTTGATTTATTATTAATAACTATTATAAAAATATTTTATATGTTATATTTAATTACATTTTGTATTTATATTAATTAAAAATATATAATCACTATGAAATATAATAAAATAATGAGATATTGAAATATTAATTGAATTTCAATATTTTTTATTACTTATAAGTTATAATTATAAAGTACAAATACAAACTTAGAAATTAGGATTAAAAATTATTATACATCTTCACTTTTATTAATTTCTAAATTTTTAAAATCTTCAAATAGATCTTCAACAACACAATTTTAAAGCTTGAAATGTTTAATTTTTTTAATTTTTTATAACTTTTTATTTTTTTTCGTGTCATGTCATGCCGACCCATAATAAGGCCCATATAATCATGGGTTATACCGTGTCGTGCTTTTTTTAATGTTGTGTCATGGGCCGACACAGCTCACGATCGACTCTACCTCCAGTTTCCACCCACACAACAATATTTAAAATGAATGAAAATTCCTTGGCATAGAAATTCGGTCTACACAAGGGAGAAATAATGGAACGAATAATATTCTTTACAATTACTTTCTCCCACTAGGACCCTTAATTTACTACAAACAACAAACACTCATGCACTTTAGTTAATCTCTTTTCGGATACAGTGGAACTTTTTAATTATTTGATACATTAATATTTAATATATCGAGATAAATTACCTAAAGGTCAGCATAAATTGGTGACGTCTATATTTTTATAAAGCACAAACAAATGATAAATATTCTCATTCTCCATTAAAAAGCATACCAAAAAGAAATTATGAAGATAATTTTATCTTTTTCACTTTTTATTTACTTTTTTACATTGAAGAAATTGTCAAGAGAGCAATCAAAGCAAATCTTTCACGATCTTTGTTCAAGGAATTTTTACTATAGTAATACTACGTTTACCGAGTAAATTACCGATTTTCACATACCGATGCACTTGCCCAATTCTCAAAATCTCAAATTTTAACTTAATCAGTATGTCAAATCGGTACCTTTATCGGTAACTCAAGCATTATTGTTTTTACTAAGCATCTTGCCTAGGTTAAATCAATTGAACTATTTTTATGCTAACGACTGAAATATTTACCATCATTTTCATAATTTTGTTCTTATCCCTGCCACGTTGTTGGGTGATGTTACTCCATATTAACCCTTGGGATGATACAAATTATTTTGTATGAGGAAACACCATGGTAGATTCCTTACATAAAATACTATAAAGAAAAGGGTAAATGACATTGTCCCACCCAAGGTTTGACGAATCTCCAAATTCTCACTCCTGGTTTCATAAATTACAGATTTTCACCCTTAAATTAATACCATTACTTTTCTCTCAAAATAATCTCCACATCTCAAATTTCTCTCAAATAACCTCTAGAGGAGATCCCGGCCAAGCAAAAAATCTAACCTGATTCCAACACCATTGGACCTCCGAAACACCACCATCAGCATCCCCTTATCCTCCCACCAAAACCCTTAACTTTTCCACCTAATTGCACCTCAACGAGGTGCCAGAATTTGGCTAGAAAGGGGCAACAAAACACAAAAACCTAAGGGAGAGGTGACGGTGATTGACAGACAATTAAAGTCGGTGATGTTGGGAGTTTTGGTGGGGGGAAGCTGGTGATGCTATTGGTGGTCGGGAGAGGTCGATTGTATGGGAAACAGGTTAAAATGACCTAAAATCGCCGATGGTGTGAATTTGAAAAGTGAAGGATTATTTTAAAATTTTTATATTTGAAATGACCATTTTATTTTTTTAATTGTTAAATTAAATAGTTTTCTATTAATTTAAATGTAAGAATCTTTTATTTATGAAATCAGGTGGAAAGTTAGAAGATTCGCTAAGCCTTGGGTGGGAAAATGTCGCTTATTCTAAAGAAAATAATTCAAGATTGTACAAACCAATGACTCTTTTTTCAGTCTTTCTGAGTTTTTGGAGTTTTGTAATGGAGAGGATAAGAACGTCACGTGGGCGGCTTCAATTTGATACTATATTTAATTAATTAGATATAAAAAAATGTAAAAAGGAAGGGGCAGATGTACAGAAGTTGCATGGCAACTGGCAACTCATTCTGAAACATTTTCGTGTAAAGAGAATACCAAGAATCATTAGGAATTCTCTTTTATTTTTAAATTTCATCGAAAGTAAGACTAAAAAATATATAACATTACCCATATATGTTTTTCAATCATTGGGTTTAAATGAAGAAAGTTTTCACGAATACAAGTTTTTCAAAGAATAAGATTTCAAGGAAATTGATTTTGAGTTGTTATTCAAACACAAAAGTGTTACATAATATTTTTTATTTTGGTTACTTGGAAAAGTTGTTTAGAAGTAATAATGTAAGTTTATATTATTGTAATTGTGCTTACTTTATTAGGTGAAAAGTTGACACCAACTTTCGGAGACGTTCATCAATGGGGGCCATGTGATTCCATGATGAATTTGGAGAATTAAAGTACGTAAAATTACTTTATCAATGAATATTATAGTTAAGGATCTTCAACATAACAACAATGAAATTTATTTCCATTGATTTCGTTAGGTGATATATATATAACAAATGCTTCCCCTATTCAATTTTATCTTTAAGAAAACACACTATCCCACATATATAATTAAATGCATTTGATAGTGGAAGAAGGGCTTTTTCTTTTTCCATGCAACGATTTTACATTTTATCATGGAATTTGTTAGGATCCCACATCGGGATCTCGCACTCATCAAGTGTGGTACTTAAGTCTATGAGCTCTTCCATCTATCAGGCCGGTCTTTTGGGTTAGACTCTCCCTTGGATTTGAGTTTTAACATTGATGCTTTTTGTTGAGAGTTGGATTGTGACAAAGGTTACATATAGGCTAGATTAAGGTGCAGTGTATTTTCATTGGGAGAGGGTGCTGCATCGAATAACTGATAAGTGAGTGAAGCTGTCCAAAAGAGGAAATGGCTACCATCGGGTCAGTATCGATAGAGTAAAAACCGCTATAGACGTCGACTCTTGAAAGAAGATATAATGTTAGAATCTCACATCGAGATCTCACACTCACCAAGTATGGTATTTGAGCCTAGAGGCTCTTCTACCTATCAAATCGGTCTTTTGAGTTGAGCTCTCCCTTGACTTAAGTTCTAACATAATTTAATTGCATAAAATTAAGATGTTGTTTATAATTTTCTGTTTAAAAGTTTCTCTTTCTGGTAACTTGAGACTTACGAAAAGAAAATTTGATAATACCATTCTCACCTGTACACAACAAGAAACCATAAAAACAAAAAAAAAAAAAAAAAACAAAACAAAATGTGCCATTTTCGTGAGAAACAAGTCTACTCTGACTTGGTATACATAATAAGAGTTGTCAACTTTTTCCGGCCAAATAACGGTTTAATAACACTTTTTCACACATCAATTTTTAAAATATCATTTGACTATTTAATTTTATATTCTAACGGTAAACAAAGAGTAAACTCGATCTAGACTATTAGAGTTTTTAAAAATAAAAAATCGATAAGTCTTTTGATGATAGAAGGTTGGATTTTGATGGTTAGGATTGATCACAATTGACAAAATTGATAAAAATAGGGTTTGACAGGCTTTGGTGAATAATAATTAGTGAAGAAAATGATAGTATATAAACTTGAATTGTAAAGTGATATTTTAAAGTGGAAAATTGTTGTTAAATGATTATTTGGGTGGGAGAAAGTCGTTTACTCTACATGATAATACTAAACAAATTTTGCAAAATATTTCGAAACTCAGGCAAAAACCAGGAATTACAAAGTCTTTATGACTTTTGATTAATTTAGAGAAGATATCAGCATCACATCAGCTTCCTTAAATACAACGGAAGAAATGTAATAGTGTGAACATATATACGGTGATGTGTTCACCACAGGTCTCTCAATTTATAAATTTTGCAAAATTGCATTTATCCAAAACTGACGACAGACTCTGGCCCAAGTCAAGATTTTTAATTGAATCTTCAATACTTTTGTCTCCTACCTAGTGTCATAGCCACAGCCAGCCACTAAGCCGAAGACAATTCAAACAAATTACGCGCATACACAAAACTATAAAATAAAGACTTTAATCTCTCACCCTATAAATACTCTTCATCTCCCATGGTACTTTACACCACACCAAGAAGAAATATTTAACCATTATGGCTAAAGCTTCAGCTTTCTTTGCTTCTCTCCTTCTTCTTTCTTCTCTTTCTCTTGTTGCTCTCTCTGAGGCTAAAGACTCGGTTCATGTTGAGAAGGGTCTTTCATGGACTTTCTATAAGAAGAGCTGCCCCAAAGTTGAATCCATCGTCAGAAAACAGCTCAAAAAGGTCTTCAAGGACGACATTGGCCAAGCTGCCGGCTTGCTTCGTCTCCATTTCCACGATTGCTTCGTTCAGGTAAATTATTTAAAGAGATTTTATCATTTTTTTTTTTTTTTTTCGTATTTTCATAAACTGTGCTGAACAAGTTTTTACTTTTTATGTTTTCAATCGTTTTTATATTTTTAGATAACAGTAAACAGATATCTGTAAAATAACTTTACCTGTACTGTAGAATTCTCTGAACTCCCCATGTGCCACACACAGTTCTAGCTAGTTCTTTAAAAAAGTCTCTTTAATTTACTTTATTTCGGTGATTAATTAATACTATTTTAAACGCGCATCGCATTTGGCAGTTGCATGCGTTCTATCAGACATAAAATATTCATAAACTTTTCACCTATTTTTTTTTTTTTTTAAATCAAAAAATTATGTTTAACATAATATGGGAACAAAATATTACAGGGATGCGATGCTTCAGTGTTGTTGGATGGATCAGCAAGCGGGCCAAGTGAGCAAGATGCGCCGCCGAATCTGAGCTTGAGGGCGAGGGCGTTTGAAATCATCGACGATCTTCGAGCTCTTGTGCACAAGGAGTGTGGAAGAGTTGTTTCCTGCGCAGATATTGTCGCCATTGCAGCTCGCGATTCAGTTGTCCTGGTAAGTCTTCGTCAAAATTTTGATAATTATTAGCACATTTACACATGTGGTTTGATTTTAGTGGTTGAGTTGCTGTTTATTTCATGACTTTAGTGCCTTATCTTTGACTTTAACTCGAATAGAGTGCTCACCTAACATGTTCCATTTTTACTTGGACTTTATGGTTAAGTTGTGGTGGATTTATATTTATATATAATAATAACCTTATCATCAACTTGGGTATGATAAAAATAAAATGGGAAGAAATCAAATTAATCTAAAATTAATTTTTTATTTCATCTCTAAAATTTAATTGAATAAGTCAACTTTTTCCCGTTTCTATGCAAGATGTTACTGGTAATTACTAATTACTAATTTTTATAATATCAAGACTTTGCCTTAGCCATTAATAAAGAAATAAATAACGTTTGCTTGTTTTGAATACATTCAAAGTTTTTTTATTTGAATATTCATGTTGCTGCCCTGCCGTATATTCATCCGGCCACTCTAGATGTATAACTTGATGGACTCATTCAATTCTTTCGAATAATATTTTATTTTTTCTATTCACAGCAATCATGTCTAAAATCTATATTAAATCCCACTTGTGAAAAAAACAAAAAAAAAAAAAAACAACTTAACTTGGTCTCCAAGTAGTGACCACATTTAGATTCAAAAAAACAATTAAATTTGGAGTTTGAATAAGATGATTTTAATAAACAACGACGATAAACTGTTTATCAATACTATGTAACGAGTTTTGGCATTTTCCTCGTTGCAGTCAGGAGGTCCCGATTATGACGTGCCTTTGGGAAGGCGAGACGGGCTGACCTTCGCAACAAGAAATGCCACTGTGGCCAACCTTCCAGCCCCAAGTTCCAACACCAGCGTTCTCCTCACCTCTCTGGCAACCAAAAACTTCGACGCAACCGATATTGTGGCCCTCTCCGGCGGCCATACCATCGGCATAAGCCACTGCAACTCCTTCACCGACCGCCTCTATCCCACTCAAGACCCTACCATGGACAAAACTTTCGCCAACGACCTCAAGGAAACCTGTCCCGCAAAGGACACCAACAACACCGTGGTGCTTGATATCCGGTCGCCGGACGCCTTCGACAACAAGTACTACGTGGACCTGATGAACCGTCAGGGGCTGTTCACTTCGGATCAGGACTTGTACACGGACAAGAGGACGAGGGACATCGTGAAAGCCTTTGCGGTGAACCAGACTTTGTTTTTTGAAGAATTTGTGAAGTCGATGTTGAAGATGGGTCAACTCAGTGTGTTGACTGGGAAACAGGGAGAGATTCGAGCTAATTGTTCGGTGAGGAATCCGGATAACAAGAAGTTTTTGGCTTCTGTGGTTGAAGAAGATGTGGTGGAAGAAGCGTGGGCTGAGTTGAGGTAGGGAGCAGCTGGGTTGTTTTAGCTAACTTGTGGACTTGTTGTAGTGATGTGGTTTTGATTTAATGTATTTGTGCTTCTGAGTTTTTAATTATCTTGCTTTGTTTTTAACCTTGAATATGTTAATAAAATCAGCAGGATGTTATCATTTTATGTTGAAAATAAATTATGTCAACTTTTTTAACGAAATGTCAGATTCTTACCATATTACTTTAGTTTTGGGACAAAACGACTAGATAACGTATCAAACTTGCAAATAACAAGTTTGATTTTCCATTTTTGAGTTCTATTGGTGAAAAAATTAACAAGAACTGAATAAATTAACGTAAGATATCTTTTTAACCTTGACATAATCGGATATCATGACCGCATGATTATGAATAATAGTAAAGAAAAAATAAAACCCATGAAACTAAATGTAAAAAGAACTTGTAAAGTGGTTTGACAAGTTAAATTTCAACCCTACGTCTAATGTTTTCTTATTAATCTATTTGATTATAAAAATAAGCTCCCTCCCTCTAAAATTACTAATCCCTTAACAATGATTTTGATAGGGTTTGTATGGTGTGTAAATGATAACTATTGTAAGAGTAAATCTTGGGATAATGGCCTGATTTTAAGAAGTCAATCCCATGAATTTTGATGTAGTTGCCATTCCCAGATTGTATAGAGTTAATTTAGTGATCTTCTTCCTGATTTTAGAAGATAATGCTTGTGTAAGGAGATGAAGCTCATTCATGGTTTGGTGGATAATTGCCATGTAATTCGTTTTACTTTTGAAAGCAACTCGCTTCGATCTGATTGTCGTCTCACAAATTATTCCGAGTTACAACTCATTCTAAATTATTGCTTGCTCTGGGCTGTCTGCACATTTTCATACAACATTATACAAATAAGCTTGTCAAATGGCCTACTCAAAAGTCAAAACTTGTTTCCCAATATTTGAGAGCAGGAAAACACTGATTAGAAATTTCTAATTTTTGAAATATTAAATTGAATTCTTAGAGAGAAAAAAGAAAAAGGAAAATTAAATAATTTGTTCGTGTGATCGTTGCACCTAATTGTGGACTACTGTGTCCAAGAAGTGAGATTGCTAAGAACACTTAAAAAGCCTTCTGATCCTTATATTTGAGGCTCAACAGGCTGGGATTGGGCCGGCCATTTTATATAGTTTAGTGGGCTTTCATCAATAATTCAAACCCCATAATGTTTTAATTAAGAAGAACAATACGAAGAACAACATTACACTTACGACATTTTCATAATTCATATAATCATGACGTGGTAGCTTATAATTAATCAGCTCGCAGTGAGTCTCATCTATCCAAATTTAAACTAACCAATAGTGAGCTGTCACCTCAAAGTTGTATAAAAAAATTGTAAGCGTAGTTTTATTGCAATATTAAAGGACGGTGTATCTCATAGTTGTTTGCGATGAGACTGACCGTATCATTCAAAGTTATAAATGACATGTGTGGAGTATTGTTTAAATTGAACACGTTCTAGTTTGATGTGAAATAGTAAAAGGAACTCCATCTCAAAATCCCTAATATAACTTGGTGAAATTCAATCAATTAAACTTACTGATACATCATTAAAATAAACCTCACATCATCCTACCACACCTCACAATTTTTTTTTTTTTTTTTTGTTTTTTTATGACTAGGGTCTAAGGGTGTCCGGGCCAGCTTACATGCATCTCAACTAATCCCTTGAGACCCTAGAATTACCGAACGGATAAGAGTTCCAGTGGCCACATTTGTTAGTAACTAATGAGTGACTTAAACTCAAGTCCTCTTGAGTCATACACCTAAGAGTCCTTATCAAATCACTCGACCACCTACAGGAAGTTTATCACACCTCTCTATTGCATCAATGCATTAGTTTTGAATGTGTAAAATCTTACTATTAAATATTATTTGACATATGCAATAAATGATTTAGTAATGTTAAATATACAAATAGATGAATGTAACACTATTTTTATTATTATATCATTCTTTTTTTATTTAGAAAATATTTAAGAAGTTGAATAGTGTTAGATTCTCATCAATGTATTATTAGGGAACAAGCATGATATAAAGCCAGTAAAAGTGTAATTAAATTGGAAACAGGTGGATACTTATCCTTAAAAGTGAAGATAAAAAAAAAAATCTTCTGTTTGGAATCTTTGTATTTTAGCATGTATCAAAGTTGTGGATATTAACAATTAAATAATAAGAAAAAAGTAAGATAAATTTAGAGAATATTCGAATTACAAAACATGAGTTACGTGATCATAGATTGAAGTCAATATATGAACTGAGTTGAAACCTTTAATTAATTAGTTAATTGGGTGCCTCAGATACTTGTCAAACACAAAAGAAAAAAAGATATTTAATGATTCTGTAAATAAATAGTGTTTCATATCCTTTTCTTATCCTCTGTCTCACTGTGGTCACTTTTTCTAAAATCTTATTATTCTACTTGGTCCACCAAACGATGCCTAAACTCTCTTTTTTATATAAATTGATATATCATATTGTAATTCTATGATTATTATATAATTTTCTATTTTAATTTCTTTAATTTATGTTTATTTTTACTTATCCAATCACATCATCATACTAAATTTGTATTAAAAAAAAATTATACATGCATAATATTAATGTTCAACATCCATTATAAATTTATTCTTTTCTTATAAATAAGAATATAATAGTTGACATATTCTAACCACCATTGGGTAACTTGATAGTAGAAGATTAAAAGAGTTCAACATGGTTTCTGAGTTTGAGTATTCACAGGACTAAGTAGGAATGATCAGTGATGGGATTTATCCGACTGTCAACTTCAGACCCTGCAGGTTTAGTCGAGGTGTGCAGTGCACGATCCCAAGTTCGAATATCTCTGCTTCCCAAAATTTAAACAAGTGATCATATGGTTTAAAGGCCAGACACTCTCTTTCCACAAAAAAAAAAAAAAAAAAAGGAATAATCGATTTATGCGGCATGAATATGTTACAAAAGTATAAACTAAATTATATAAAAAATTGCCTCGACTGGGAACATATAAAGTTTTACTTGATCAATAAGCCAAGATGAAGATGACCGTATATGCGAATCCTAAGCTTGTTTCTATAGTGTATATTTATGTAACAATAACTAATTATGTCAATAATTAAGAGAGACTAATTTTAGAATTCTAAAAAGATGTTATAGACCAGGGCTGTTTACGTGTAGACCAGGGCTGTTTACGTGCCAACTGAGTTTTTGGCTTAAGGCTTGTGAAAAGAAAAGGGAAAACGAGTTCAAGCTGAGCCGAGCCAAGTCACAAAATTATTGGCTCCACTCGACTCGTTGAAGGGGGAAGCCGAGTTCGAGCTTGGCTCACGAGCCGAATTAACAAGCCGAATTCGAGTCAGCTCGCGAGTAAGAAAAACAAATGCAATTTTCCTTATCCATGATAAGTATATCTTCAAACTTAGAAGGTAACCAAAAGACGGTGTCGTTAAGGACTCTGACTCGGCATGTTGACAGAAGAAGAAAAACAAAGAAGAGAAAAGAGAAGAAGAGGGTTTGGTTTGGTTTGGTTTGGTGTTGAGAGCTGTGTTGTGCTGCGTGAAGAAGATTTAACAATGATGGATCTTTGAGTTTGACGGAGAGAGAGTGAGGGACCCAACAAAAGAAGAGTAAAGAAACAGAAAGAGGATGAGACAGTTTCAAAAAAAGTTGGTAAGAAACAAAATACAGAGAGAGAGAATCAGGGACCCAACAAAAGAAGAGTAAAGAAAGAGAAAGAGGGATGAGACAGTTTAAAAAAAAAATTTATAAGAAACAAAATACACGGTACAGTGAAGGACTGAAGAAGCCGCTTGCCATCTGTTCAGGGTTTAAAAAATGCATTTTTTTTAAACAAAATACGTGCAGTGAAGGACTGAAGGAGCCGCTTGCCATCTGTTCAGGGTTTAAAAAATGCAGTTTTTTTAAAATAAAAAAAATTAAAACCCAAGATCGGAGAACCCAACAACCAGCATCTCAAAACCACCTCTGAGAGACCACACGAAACACTCTCACAGCCACACACCAGCTGAACGAAAATTGGGAACCATCAACAAACCAGCCAGCAGAGAAGTGACACACCAGCCACTTGCCAAGCACCCATCTGCTACAAAAACTCCAAGAACAAAAAGTCCAGTAGCCTCCAAGCCTTGCCTCCTTCTTCCATGAAGAGAACCACACCACCACATGACACAACCAACAACAAAGAAAACATAATCCCAAAGCACTCACCAACAAAGCCGCATGTCCCACCTTCCAACCACCAACAAATAAGACAAAACCAAAAACAAATCGCACAGCCCACCCAAAAACAATGCCATCACCAGCACCAGCCACCAACAAGGTTCCCTATTGAGAAGACAAAAGAGGAACCTCACAGAGAAGCAAATGGCAGCACACCAAACCCCAACGGCATCTTGACTTGTTTACCAAATTTGAATAACACTTTGCTTGATTTGTTTGGTTTTGACTGTTCTCCCCTTCCTCTCATCTTCTTCTTCTTGTTTTCAGTCTGGTTTGGTTTGGATTCGCTGGCGAATGGGTTTCAGTCGCGTTTTTAGGGATTTTAACATCGGTTTTTTTTTTTTTTTTTCACAACTTTTCGTTTTAAAATTTTTAATTTAATCTCTCCTACTTTAAAAAACCCCAAAAACACTCCTAATAATTCGATCTGCGTGAGCCGATCGAGCCGAACTGAGACAGGCTCAAACTCGGCTCATTCTTTCTCATAAATAGAGCCGACTCGGCTCGATTCCAGACGAGGTGAGCCGTACTCGAGTCGGGCCGAGCCTTAAACATTCCTTATGGTATGCTTTTATCGATATACATGTGCACAATTGATTTAATAATATAGGTAAGTAGTGTTCTAAACTTTTCTTATTCGTACGTTAACTCTTGAAATAATACAAGTCAAATTATATCATCTATTTTTCATATATCCAAGATTTAGCTCACAATGTTCATAACTTATTAGCATACATTTGTTGAAAATATTAGTTAGTATATATATGGGTTATGATCTCAATGAAATTATTTTGTTTTATTATCAATTTCAAATTATTAATTCAAGATACGTTCTAAATTTATATTCTTATTATTATTTTTTTGGTATCCGAGAGAGTTCGGCCAATTTATCTGTATTTTAACTAATCTTTCAGAATCTTAAAGTTAATAGTCAAGTTATTTTTTATTAACAGTCATAAAATTTGAACTTATAATTTCTTGAATAATACATTCAAAAGTTTTTAAGTGAATTATCAAGCTAGTTAGAGATAATTAATTTGTATTGTTTTTAAGATACATTAATTATACACATACATATACAGAAGATCAAAACAAAAACATTCAGAACACATAAATTAATTTAAGAACTCAAATTAAAATAATTTTAGTGAGAAAAGTGACGTGCCATAGATGACCATCACCGGCCCGTTTCTATACGATGATGTATTTACGATACTTTTTCAATAAAATTTACAAACATATACCAGCTCTTACTTATTCTAAACATATCCAAGCGGTCGACCAACTCCTCGAGAACCTTAAATCTTCATCACATAAATGGAGTAATCGAAGTCATTTCATTTCAATACAACATCGAAACCTTCAAATAATTTAATTTCCATCAATTCAATACACCGAAATCGAAGTGAACCAAATAAATAAAAACGACAACAACAATAATAATAATTCCAATACAACGCTTAAACTAAAGCCTTAACCCAGAACCATGCAGTTTGCATTCGATAATCCCGTCCAACCGTTCCGCCATCTCATCCGTCAAATGATTCTTCCAATCCCCGACCTCTCCCCGCCGGAAAAATGCCTTAAACTCCTCGCCGGAGAACATTTTCCCAGTCTTGTTCACCTCCAAATTCCTCAAACTGTCGAAGCTACACATCTCCAGTATCCTACCCACCGTTCCATTCAACTCTTCCTCTTTCGAAAACGGACACTCCAAGAACTCCGCCAGTCTCTTCAAATGCATTGCCGGCTTCTCCTTCATCTCCTCGAACTTCAAGAAAAACACCCTCTTCGGCCTTTCCACGATCGCCTTCCAGTACCCCAGTACGTGCTCCCAGAACGGTCCGTACAAGCTCACGCCATTGCAGAACTTATCGAAGGCCTTTTCGAGAGAATTCACGCCTTTATCTTTCGGTCTCAGCTTGTTCGTGAAGTGCCATAGCGAGACGAAAGTGTCCTTCGGGTTCCTGCACAAGTAAACAATCTTGCAGCGAGAGTCATTGACGGATTTCGGCAATGAAACCAGAGGCAAGTGAGTTGAGAAGAGTCTCGGAGAGGCAAAAACCGAGAGGTCGGGGACCTGATTTTCTATGTAAAGTTTGAGCTCTATGAAAGGCACAAGATCGTGAGGGTTGTTGGTGTACAAAGGGTGGTGAGGATCGTTAATTGCGTGTTTTGAACGGTTTATTAAGGAGAATGCTATGGCTTTGAGCCAAGTGGTGCCGGATTTGGGAGTGGTGACGAGGAGGGTATCGGAATCCTGAGCGTGGAAGTGCTTTTGGCAAGTTAGAACTCCTTGAAGCTGGCGGGTTGTGTGCCAGAAGCCTTGATATTGATGGAGACAATTGGCGACCCAACCACTTTCAGTGGGGAGTGAGGAGATTAAGTCCTTTCGTTCTTGAGTGAGGTCGTCTTCTTGTAAGTATTTAGGCACAGAATGAGAAGTGCTATCAGAAGCAGGTTGAGGTGATGGCAAAGAAGTGGATAATGCGGTAGGAATGGCGGCAGTGAGCATGGTTGCGATAAGGGAGAGTGTTTCGTTATTTAATTTTTGTTTGTTGCTGTTGCTGAGATCTGGTCACTGAGTGGCTTACCATTTTTATAACGCTGGCTACGCTTTTAATAATCATATTTTACGTATTTTATAGATTTTTTTTTTTTTTTTTTGTGTGTAAAAGGTAATTGTATAAAGAATTATAGAATGAGTCCCCAAAAGGGCAGACTCAATAGGAGTACAAGAGTCCTGGACCACACTAGGACCCAACAAAAGAAACCATATACATTAGCAACAAAAGAAACAAAATAAAAAAAACCAAATATATCACCAAGCTAAACTCGCAGACACCTGGAACTAAAAGACCAGCATCACAAAAAGGCAGGTCTTACATAAAGCAAAAATAAACTGCACAAATATATACAAGAAGCTGTCAGCAAACAAAACTCCATGTGCAGCAAAAACCAGCCGAGAGTTTACAATGTCTGCAATGCAGCAGCAGCAGGCACAGCTATCTTGACAAACTTGTCAATGATCATACAGCAAATAAGGAGAGAAACTCCCTAAATAACGGGCAAGCAGCATCTTGACTCCCACTTTAAACATACCATCTGCTCAAATCGACCCACAGTCGTTGGGCACAAACAGGCAACCTTCACACAAAAAGAGGCACCAAAAATCTGTAGCTGTCAGATCAAGAGGAGCCTAAATAACCCCCACCCAAGTAAGCAGCAGTCACCATAATCACCTCCCACAAACCTGTAGCATATTCAACGGGAGAAGCCTCCCACCTCCTCAGCCTCATAGCAATTCGCCTACCACCAGCAGCTCGAGACCAAGAATTATGCATTCCCTCCATTATACGCCACGAGACAATTTAAAGGAAGACCCCACTCCTCCATAACTTCTCTAACCCGCTCATTGTTCTTAAACTTTAAGACTTGGCAATTTAAGTCTCACAACCTCTAAAATATGGTGCTGTACCCTCTGGTAGTGCTGTCTCTTGCCTTTGAAAAGACGAAGATTTCGCTCCAGCCAGATCCAGTAAACAGCAGCCGCTAGTAAAAGACTTCCAATGATTGTCCGTATACCCTTCCCCTCAAGCCTACCTGCGCACCAGGTTATGATGTTATCCCACCCTATCACAGGCACTCTAAACTTACCTTTTGTTTGGATCATACTCCAAATGTTTGAAGAGAAGGGGCAGTCAAAGAAGAAGTGGTCATGAGAGTCCATAGGACCATTGCAGAGCGCACACTCCATACGCGTTGAATCCATCCAAACATTCAGTCGGTCTTGCGTGAGAAGTTTATGTTTGATAGCAAGCTACATGATGAAAGAATGCCGTGGGATAGCTTGACCAAACCAAACCAAAAGGTGCCATGAGACTTTGTTACTTACCGAAGCCAAATCATACCAAACTTGTTTAATCGAGAATTTAACAACCTTACCCTCTCTGGTCTGCCAAACGGAAAACATCTCTGTTATTAGTCATCAGGAGAGAGGGGGATTGCGTGACCACTTGGGGAAAATTGGCCTGCAATTATCCGGCCATGCCCACTGCCCATCATGAATAATCCTGCTAACCTTGGCCTTATGCCCCAATCTGGACTCATTGATTGCTCTTAAGGAAATAACCCACTGAATTTTTCAAAAATTTCAAAAAAAATATTAATAGTTTATAGATTTTATAATTTTAATCCCACTTAACTTTATGTTGACCTCACAAAATAAATTATTAATTAATATATTTTAAATTTTTCTTTTTTCTTTTTTCTTTATTTCCTTTTTTTGCGCTCCTATTATACTTTTCCTTTGGTTGCATACTTAAGAAAGGCTACTCCTTTGGATTACAAGGTAAAATGATACTATTTTTATTTTTATTTTTTCACTTAAAATTAATTATTTTGTTTTAGCTTTCTTAATTGATGAAAGATCATGAGTTACGGGTTTTGGTTGAGTTTAATAAATGAGTTTGAAATAATTCTTAGATTTTGATGTGAGTTTTGATTTAATCTTGTTTATGTTGAGGTATGAGTTAATTAACTGTTGTTTTAAGTTGGGTTTGATAAATTGTAGTTAGTTATTGAGTTAATTTTGAATATGGTTTAAAGAATTGATGAAAGCCTAAGTTGTAAAGATTTGAGGATTTGGTTTAATTTTGATTTATTGCTTAATTGCTTAATATTTAGAATTAGATTTGATGAGTTTTTATGGGTTTATGAGTTGAATTTTATTGGGTTAGTAGAAATTGTTTGAAAAACCTAAGTTATGAGTTGAATTTTGATAAATTTATGTTGTTTTTTAATTGTAATTACAAATAAATTATATTTCTGATAATAATTTTTATTTTATTTTTTTAATTATGGACAAGTTTTTTATCAAAATAAAGTTTTCTAATAAGGAACCATCAATTGAACAAAACATAAGGCGTCACGATAGTGTTCACAATGAGCCTATAAAATCTAGTTCAAAACAAATATCAAAATAAAGTTTTCTAATAAGGAACCATAAATTGAACAAAACATAAGGCGTCACGATAATGTTCACAATGAGCTTATAGAATCATAATTTTAAAAAGAGAGCAATTGGGAATTTAATGCGTCGTTTTAATCCCGTTTGGTTTAGAGAATATGCAAATTGGTTGGAGTACAGTGTAGAAAAGAAGGGTATTTTTGTTTGTGTTGTTATTTTTTTAGACATGAAATTAGCATTGACATTACCTATTGCAACTGCAATGTTGAAAGAGCATTTTATGTGATGAAGATTGTGAAAAATCGACTACAGAATCGAATGAGAGATCAATTGTTGAATGATTATCTTATTACATATATTAAGAGAGTGATATTTGATGGAATTGTCAATAAAGCAATTATATAACGTTTTCAGAATATGAAAAATCGTCGAAAACAATTGTAAAATTAATAATTTGGTATATATAACTTTTAAAAATATATTTTTTATGCTTATTATTTCAGTATATATTTTATTGTAAATTTATTAACTTTGATGTTTTGAACCCACTAACTCAGATTCTTGGCTACGTCCTTGCCTCTTGCCTGATTTTATGTATCCATTTCACCCATAGAGAATCCCTATACAAAACCACGCTCCAAAGGTGATAGACCATCAAAGGACAATTCCATTCCTTTAACGGACGAATCCCTAGACCTCCATTAGTCTTAAGAAAGCATAAATCCCTCCAAGCCACTTTAACCTTGCCCTTAACCAATTCATTTCCGGACCAAAGGAAGGCTCGCATCATTTTCTCTATTGCTTTAGACCATCTCCAACCCATTGCACCAATTTGGTGCAAAATTGCACCAAATTGGTGCAAAATTTGGTGCAAAATACTATTCCATCTCCAACCCACAACACCAAATATTGCATCAAAAAGAATATTCTTTAGAATGTTCTTTTATTTTCTTTTATTGTAATAATCAACAATTAATCTATTTCACTCATTATTTTTGTATATATTAATTAAATATTGGGAATGATATTTTTATTAAATAATAATTATTTTAAAAATTATACTAATTTAATAGAATTAAGCATTTATTTAATCAAATAAACATTACATTTAATATAGAAAAACATTACATCTAATATAAAATGATACAAAAAAAAAAAAAAAGATGTGTTGTCTATTCAAGTTTTTTTCAATATTTTGATGATCTTACTGGATCCGGAACTAATCTACCGGAATACTAAATTGTTATTTTAGTTTATGTTGTATTTTCTTTTAATTTTAGTGTTTTTAAATTAGTGTTAATTTTTATTTTGAGTTATTGTAGTTTAATATTTGCATTGAATCAGTTCTATTTTTAATTTGTCATCATTTTTTAAATTATATCATTATTATAAATTTATTATTATAAATATAATCAAATTAAATTAAATACAAAACTCAAATTTGGTATGATTTTTGGTGTAAATTAATATATACTCAAATTTGGTATGATTTTTGGTGTAAAATTTAATACTCAAATTAACTTAACAAAATAAAAAAAAAACAAAAACAAATTAAAAAAATATATATTTTTTTATTGTGCTACAGTGCTGCGCCAAAATGGCGCAGTGTTTGGCGTGGGTTGGAGTACCAACCCACGCCAATTGGTTTTTTTGCGCCAATTTGGCGTGGGTTGGAGATGCCCTTAGAAACAGAGCTTGGGAGGATGAAAATAGACACCTAGGCTCCGTTTGGTTCACAATTTTGTGTTTTTGGGAAAAGTTTTTTGAAAAAAGTTAAAAAAAAAAAAGTTGAATTGGGCGGGTATTACGATGTAGGATTTACAATTTATAAAATACCCCCTATGTTTGTTTTTTTACAAAACACCCCTTATAATAAAACATTAAAAGTTAACAAAAACACACACAATCCACCCTCAAATACGACAGTCGGCCACCACCGCCGGAGGGTGGCCGAGTCATCCGACAAAAACATTAAAAATATTTAGGGGTATTTAATTGAATTAACAAATTTAGGGGGTTTAAAAAATGTTGAATAAAGTTGAATAATATTGTGAGTTTTTAGGTATTTTACTGTTTAACTTTTTTGGGAATACTAAAAGTAGTATTCCCAAAATCTAACCAAACGAAACCCTAGTAAACTTGCATCGAAGATAAAACCGAGATGACAAGCTGGAGGCGGCCAACATAGGAAATGTACTTATTTTTCCAAGAATTCAATCTTTTTTCCACCTTATCAATAAGAGGCTGACAATCATTGTACTGCAATCTAGATGTGATCAGTGGGACTCCAAGATACCTCACAGGCAACTGACCCTCTGTAAATCCCATAATGTTCCTAATAAGCAGTCTATGCTCCTTAGTAACATTGCAAACATACATTGCACTTTTCATAGGATTAGGATTTGAACCAGAAGCATGAGCAAAGCACATCAAGGCATCCTTAATGACCCTAACCGAGGTGGGATCTGCATGGCAGAACAGGAAAAGGTCATCGGCAAAGCATAGGTGGCTTATCTCCTATGTCCTACATCTGAAGTGGAACTTAGAACCATCATTCTCCGCGAT